AAGAGATACTCTCAAATCCTTCCTCTTATTTATATTCATTTTTAAATAAAAACTTGATTTCCTGTGACCTAGAAAAGTCAAGAAACATCTTCTTTACCTATAGCAAGAAAGTTCTGAAAGAAAGAATAACTAATAGTATAGTACTTGAAGCCTTTTATATTAAAGTATGTCTATAGAGGTTTTCTGCAGAAGGAGGTGACGAATATCAAGCCATATTTCAAAGTGTCTGTCCACTGTTTCTTTCTTCTTATAGTTGCCCAAAATTTTTTTAGTTTTCTGGGGAATTTTGCCTACCTTAGTTTGACCCTGAATTTTAGGTGACACAATCTACTGCAAAATATGATTAGTGAACACGAAGCACGTTAGTAGCTGAATGTAAACAAGTACCTACTGGTCACCTCATTGTATTCCGATGACATTATTGATAATAGAAAGCGTTAATTGGTGCCCCATGTCTACTCTACTCCTCCAATTGGGTTAACCTACAGATCAAGTACTATGAGGTTAATAAGATATGAGCAACAAGTTCTCAGGTGATAAAAAAGCTACTATTTATTCAAGCTGAGGTCTTTCTTTCCTATCATCCCGGCCAGGCAAAGTTCAAGACTAAGATCTCCCTCTTATCCTGGTCAGGCAATAAGACCAAATGGTCTTTAGTCCATGCCAAACTTCAACCCTTTGGTTATAGTTAAGAATATATTTTCTCAGAAGTTGTTGAAGGATATCGCAATCGACAAGGATCTCTACCACTCTTTTGAACCTCCCATCATTACAAAGCAAAAGGATTATTGAGGAATCTAATCTTTTGGGTAATGAAAGATGTACACCAGTAAAATTCCTTTAATTAGGCATGGCTGCTGGAAGGTATTATACTGAAACAATATGGCCTAGTTCTTACTAGGTCACATAAGAACCTGGAATCCATTATAAGTCGTCTCTCTACTACAGGTAGATAAAAAATTACTGCTCAAAAAAGGTTGGAACCAAGTATGTCTTGGAAGTAAAGGTTCCCACTAGGCAATAAGTTTCCTCAGATGGTACACAAAAAGGAAATTAAGATTAAAGATGAATAAGTTCCTCAGACGGTCAGGAAAAGAAAGAATATCCCAATTGGGCATTTCTTATTAAGAAGAGGTCTTGAGAAGCAGATCTTTGAAGGAAGCTGAAAATATTTTTTCAATTTTTACTCTTTCATTTTCTTGTAATCTGCTTAGACATTTTTAGATATCCCTCTTCTCCTTTTTTCAATCAATCCTTTTGTAGTTTTCTATATTCCAGTGGCTTGATTAGACATACGGTAGTGACAACCTGTTGGCAATGATGCACTGGACTAGGAGGATCTTTACCCAAAAACACTGCAGATCGAAATATTGTCCTCAAGACTGAACTTAGAGGCTTTTATGCTTATGACGAGTTAGTTAGATTAGAATAATAGTTTAGTTGTAGTATGTATTATACTGCTCGAATGAAAATATACTTTTGTTTTCAATTGATTAATAAACTGATGATCTAACCTGGCTATGGGTACTCAAAAAAAAAAATTTTTATGTTTTTTTAAAGAATTCATATTTAAGTCAATAATATTTTTTTTTAAAAAAATCTATTTAATGAAAATATTTTTATTGGAAAATTCCTAAAAAATATTTTTATTATCTTCAAAACTAACTATTAATATACAAATTATAAAATTTTAATAATACAATATATAGTAGAGAATGAAAAAAATTGTCTAAATTTTTAAAAAATTAAAATTTTTATTATAATGTAAAATTTAATTTATTTAAAAAATCTAAAAAAAAATTAATATAAATATTTTGATTTTATAAAATAATTTTTAATTAAAATGATTTATATTTAATTAATAATATTATTTTTAATTTTTTTTTTAAATTTTATATATTAATTCATATAAATATTATAAGTTATATATAAAATTTGTGTATAATATAAATAAAATTTTTTAATTAAAATAAAAATAATGATAATAATAAAAGTTATAAAATAGTCTTAAATAAAATTAATTTTTAGGTATTTAAGTATTTATATTTTAAGCTTAATTTAATTTAAATAATTCCTTATTAAGTTAAATATATTTGAAAAAAGGCAATTTTTTTCATCCCCTACTGTATATTGTAGTTAACTTAATCAAATTTGCCGATGAATTTGGATTTAACATTTTACTTTGAATTTTAAATTTTAAATTCAAAATTTCAAAATAATAATGACAATAAACTTTAAATATTACTTGATAAAGATGGTTGAAGATATTATTGGCATAAACTTGTTTCCATATATTTCAAAACATTATATGTGAAATATATTTTTATCTTCTATTTTTTTCTTGTTAAATCATAAAATAAATAAATAATATGAAACATAAGAAATAAAAAATAAATGAATTCGATTTTCTAATACAGTATATAATATTTGTATAATTATTAAAAGTACAAAAAGTTAAAGAACCTATAAATATAATTAATACTCGAGAATTCATATAATTTAAAATATACTAGAATATATAAAAAATGAACATGTATTTATATTTATACTATTATTATTATTATTGTTGTTGTTATTTATAATTTTAAATCTAATAAAGTATTGTTTCCCTTGGGTTGCACTCGGAACTTTAATCAAAGGCATATACAGCATACTGTATGTAACCCTAATTGGCCTGACTACCGGATTAAAAAAAAATTAATTTGAACATCAAATTCGCCGTAGAAACGTACAAAATAATCCATCCTGCTTTTAACGACAGACTTAGTTAACTACAGTAACTCTTCGCTGTTGTTAATATGAAGAGTTGTTGCACCATTCGGAGATTCTAAAAGTACACCTTCAAATCAATCATGTCGATATTGTGATGCAATAAATCAGCGTTATCACGAAATTGCTTGTAAAAGTGATAAAGGTTTAACATCGGGTTGCAAGTAATTGGAAAATTGCGTAATTGTGCACCAAAATCATCAATGTGACTCATAACACTCGGAATGGCATTCTTTTCTTTCATGCAATAAATTGGATAATCGCATCATTTGTTTGTACGGCAATCTCAATTTCAATTTCAGACGATTGAAGGAAGAAGGCGCCACCGGTCATCCAGTCGATAGAGTGAGGGTGATTTAATGAGTCATTTTAAATCTTACTTTGGGTGCTATTCTTATTTAATTAGTGCAAGAGGTAAAAAAAAAAAAGATTTCTAGTATTCATATTATGAATACAGCAACTTTGATCTCACCTAGATGTCGTGTATCTTAGACATTCCCACGCTTCATGTCTAATGTGAAACCCGCTTAACCAAATTCACGAGTTTTAAAGAAGGTAGAGCCGTCCATAAGAGGAAAAGATGGTGATAATCTTAAGGTAGGTACCCTTGATGTTTACCTTGATTCACCATTGAATAAAATGTGCTAATGTAAAACGAAACAAATTAAATAATCACCGACATAATATTGCGTGCCTATTGTTTACCATCGAGAAATTTTGTTTATACAATTTCAAACCGAAACATTTGCGGCGAACGCCAATCCCGACCCTCTCAACAAAGGCACCGAGACAACTTTGGTGAATCATGAAAGAAAAGGTGGGTTAGGGGTGAATTGTAAGATTACAAGGGCTTTTCCCTAAAAAAAAAGGGATCCACGAAAGCCTTTCCAAATTCGATTGTCATTTTGTCCAATGCATGTACTGTAGGTTATTTTAATTTATCACGCTAGCGGTCAAATCGGAGTTTTTTTATTTTATTTTATTTTTATTCTGACAATTGATTTACTTCAAGATTACGAAAAAGCAAGAATGAAATTTCTCCTCAGCGTTCCGCTAACTGGTCGTCAAATTCAATCACGATCCGTTCCGAAAGGGGCGGCGCGGATAAAATGATATGACGTAAAGTCACATAAAGCTTGTTAAATGCGTAGACCATGTGACGTCTTTCTAATATGATCTTTTCGTAATTGATGACAAATTCAATTCTTTTTAAGATCCGGGCAAAGCGAATCAAAAAACCGGTCTCTGTTACATCATGTGGTGCCATAAACACTGCGCCACAAAGTTCAACTTGTCATGGTCTTGTTAAAAAAATATCATCCAACACCAAAACACCACAATGAAAAAAAAATCTCGACCCGAAAGATTGGGTAACACACACTACATCATAACTGTTTCAGGTAAGAATTATTTTTGGGGAAAATATCAAAGGAACAAACGGAAGCTGGAGAATCCTCGTTTCGTGGAAACAAAAGCGAAGAATCTCATCCCGTCAATTCAAATGATCCCCTAGAACTATGAAATCTTTATTGCTTTTATATATATATATATAAATCATTTTTTCTTTGGAAGTCTACATGTTCCAAAGTGTTTGTTTGGTTCTTAATGGGAAGAGAATCTTAGAAAAGGTTTGTACTAGAGGATAAAATTGTCATTCACAAAAAAAAAAGGACACAATTGTTTGTTTAAAAAAAAAAGGAAAAAAGTTGAATTGCCCGAACTATTGCCCGAACTTGAAGGAACTGTTCTGCTAATAGATGATAATGGCAAAATCCAAAATAAAAAAAATCTACTCTAAAGAACAAGGAAAATGAAATAATTGGTACATTTCTTAGAATCAACTTTTCCAGCAAAATATTAAAAAGTCTTTTTTTTTTTTTTTTTTTTTGATTTTTTCATTTTCATTTTTTTTTTTTTTGTAAAATTTTATAATGTCACCAAAAAAAGTCAATAAAGGAGGAAAAAAAAAAAAGGGAAAGAAACATCTTGATGATCGTGGTGGTTGTTTGTAACAAATGAGATGCACGTGTGAATATAAGAAAACGAGGAACGGGAAAAAAAAATATTATTTAACAGAATGTGAAAGAAAGAAAGGGAAAAGGGAAGCAAAAAAAAAAAAAAAACTAAACTAAAACAAAGATACAAGGTGAAAGAGGAAAGGGGATCATTTTCTATGGAACAATGTAATTACAAGGGAATCTTTTTTTTTTTGTGTCGCCAGATCAATCGCCTCAATGAATGAACCATATCTTGTCATCTTCTAGCGACGATGGGGAAAAGTTTTTCTCTGAATTGTCGTTCTTTTTCTCTCCTTGAAATTCCAACATTCTGATCACATCCATCAAGGCATCTCGATCCAAATCTCGGGGGGTCAGAGAATAAAGAATATCGAGGTCATCTTTCGACCTCCTGTCGGTCGGGGGATGCGATGGAGAGTGATATCGGTGGTCCAACAAGCCTAGAACGGCATTGGAGTCCAGTGGTTTCACGATAACATCGTCTCGACCCAGATGATACTTTTGGAATGAACGCGGGACACCATCGAAATTAAAGAAGGGGCGGTAAAAATCGGAGGAAGGAGGTGGATCTATTATGCTATTGTCTTTCCAGTATGGGTGAAATGATCTTTCGGCTTCCGACGAGGTGTCAAAAAATTCGATGTCATCGACCATGTTCACATCTTCGTCCCTTTTCGGTTCAACTTCCTCTTCCTTGTCGATTGCCATGCGGTTGACGTTTGAGACGAAATATGACGAGTGAAGAAGATCGTCTGGTATTATTATATCCTCCGTGATCTGTATGTTGGAATCTTGCTCCTCGAGCTCCATGTCATCTTCCTCGGTCGTTAACGTGATGTAGACGTAGCCGTTCTCCTCTTCGTCAAGACTATCCAGACAAGCTTCAAGCCAACTCTCTTCATCCTTTTTCACTCTCTCTTCCGACAATTCAGGAGGTTCTTGTTCTGCTTCGAATTTCGTGTATATGAAATTGTTTATCATCGCGAACTTTCGCAGACCCTCACTCTCGTGAAAGTTACGAAACTTGTTTACAGATACATTGTATATATGCGGCAAGTTAACGATGGCCGCCATTGTCTCTTGTGAAGTTGTTGTTGATGCTATTGTGTTTCTTTGGTATTGTATGTATAAAATAAAGTGTAAAAAAAAAAAAAGAAGTAAGTCAAGTTACTTGGAAAGTCGAAGCAGAGTGCCCCTTTTATGTAAATTCAAGGGTGGCACAGTAATATTGTGTGATAAGCGTAGTATAATAGCGTAATAAAATAATAATAAAAAAAAAAAAAAAAAAAACGAGTATTGGTTTTCCCTAATTTGTAAGTATGGTTGTCGGGGAAATTTCTTGTCCAACCAACGGAAGCAATGATAAGAAAATGTTCCTGCGCTGAGTGAAACTTGCAGTTTATGTCACAGGTCTTGGTGTTTAAGTGAGGTTAATAAGGCGTAGTAAAATAAAGAGAAAAAGAAGGTCACCCAGTAATGTATATGACGTATATTGATGGGTTAAAAGATACCGAAAATTCGTGTAACAATATTTTTTACTTGGTTTTCTTTGATTGTTTTTTGTCAATTAGAAAAAAAAAGAAAAATGCAATTTAAAGGTTCTCTTTTTATTGTCTTTAACGATGCGAATGTTCGTCTTCCCGGGAAACAATTATGGCTGGTCGAGATGTTTCCGACGCTTCATGGTTGCGAAAGAACTATCGATAATGGTTTGTTTAAAAGGAAGAAAAAAAAAAAAAAAAAAAGAAACGAATAAGGAAAAAATTATTATTATTATTTGATTCGATTGATCGATAACCTTGGTTTTGATTACAACGAATACATGGGTGATTCTATAAACACGCAGAGCAGTGTGAAAAAAAAGAAATGAAAAGACGATGACAACGGAAAATCTGGAAGCTTTTTATCTCACCGCAGCCATACCTTTTTAGGCGTGAATAAGTTAGGGCATTTAAACTCCGTCCATAAGAAAATCGTAGAAAATAACGGTATAACATTAGTTGCATAAAAAAGAAGTCGCAATATATCATTAGCTGGGCATAAAGTAGTGCACTGTACTGTACTGTACTTACTATACACATACAGTATTTAAACGTATATATATATATATATTTTTTTTAAAAAAAAAGAATATTTATTTTTATGCGGACATCATTCCACCTATCGATGTGTGAGAGTAAAGAAAAAAGCATGTAGGATGCCGATTCCGGGAACACGGAATGAGTCAGAATCCATCGCCCTCTGTCATACGATACATGTATATTAAAAATATTATTTATTACTAATGCATTTTGGTGTCAAAATTACACTTGAGAGAATCTTGTCGATCTTCACCAACCGTTAAAGTTAACTTATTTATACTGACATTGAACACTTGAGACAGGTGTGATGACGTCTATTCACAGCGTCTGAACTACGCAAAGATGATGCTAATCTAATGGTCACAACTACGGGGTGTTGTTACGCGATGAGCAAAGTTGACTATAATTTTGGATGACACATCCTCAGGTAGTTCCAGGCGGCCTCGACCCACCTTCGCCTGCGGACGGAGCAAATCTGCGGGACGCCTGATCATCTTGATTCATAGAGTCAATCGTTGAACAAGGTGTCACACCCGAGGAGCTTTCCTCGTCTTTCTCGGCGGTGCGAATGCGCAAACTCGAGAGTGACCTCAAATCGGTCGCATTTGGGGGAGTTCAGCACGCACGGTACACATACAGAAGAGAATTTCCATTTGCGAAGTAAACGCGATCGATTCTATTTAAAGAACCCATTACTCCTTAAATGGCAACCTCTTTGGTATTTTTCAAGTTTCCCCTAAATTTGGATTTCATTCTCTCGGTGTTTAAATTATGGCTTTGAATGAGGACAACTTTTCTACGGAAAATTTGATATTTGTTTATTAATTTGTCGACCAATGAGGGTAACCGGGTGTCGGACGCACGTAGAAGTGCAACGATAATGGGGAACTAGGAAGAGGAGGAACTCGCATCTCATTGACTATTCGATCTCCCCCTCCCGACTAGTCATAAATGCCCTAGCCCGTCATCCTGATACGAGTGTACTAGTGTAAAATAGTATGGTATTGGAGAGATGATTGATGCACGAAATAAAGTTTATTAATTATTATTGTCTAATCACTAATTACCCAACAGATCATTCCAAATTGACGAAATCTGAATATCAAAAGACGTCACTCTTATTACGCTCGCCATCATCATAATAATTAGATGAAGGAGGGTGGTTGCTATGGCATGATGATGATCATCATCAAAATGATTCGATGATGCATTCGTGATGCCTCTTTGGCTGACCCTCTACATCCCCGATGCACGGTTCCCTAACAAAACACACACGCACATATACACCCACCCACCACATACGCTGTAAGCCAAACAACCTCTTGTGCATTGTATTTTATTTATTTGGCTTTTTTGCTCTTTTTATTTAAGATATATACAGTGTATATACTGTATACTGTACATACAGTGTATGTGAACAATATTACACCGGCCGCCATGCCTTACTTTACTGTCGGTGCCCATTCCAGTGGTACTCGTTGTTACGTAATATCGCCATTCTGGGTAATCCTCTTTTGTGTCGTGACGGCCACATGGCTAAAATATTGGGTTTAAAACTTTTATCACTATCATTATTATTATTATGCACCAACACATTTAGCAAAAAATAGTATAACAGCAAAAAGGATAATAACGATAATATATAGAATGTAATTATTTCATTTATAAATTTGGTCTAGGTTCATTGATTTTTGGGTAAAATCATTTGCTCACAATCACTGTCATTTTTATTGTTTCCGCCCATAGGAATTTCTCGCAAGCGAGTGATATTATGGTCGCCTCCTCGCCCCTTGCGCCGATTGTTAATGTATCACTTATTTGAAAGAAAGAAAAATCATATGCGTATATTTACATATTTATTTAAAAAAGGTTCCAATGTATGATGTCGTTGAACGTTGTTCATCCACTTAACATCAATCTATCAAAAACCCATGACCAACTCAATTATGCAGAATGACCTTTTGTCACTCGATCGTCCCGACAATTCGGCTACGACTTGCGAACACAAGGGAAACAAGTGATTCCCTTTTTTTCTTCAAAGTCAACAATTGTTGTATCTTTGTGGGGTAAACGACAATAAAAAATGTGTGATACGCGTATGATTGTTTTCGGTTTGTGGCATCATGTGCTTCACACTCGAATGACAAGACGAGGCGCTTTCAAGTTAGGGGACGAGTATTGTGACCATCTGGATGTGGGTTAGGCAGTACACGTACTGTACGCACGCATATGTGGTGTCTCTTCTCTTTCTAATTCATAAATATGGAAAATGCCCCGGTAATCGACATGTCGTGTGATATTTTCATTCAAGTTCAAAATACGAACTCGATATCACCTCGTTCCCGTGGTCAATTTGCAAGCCTTTCTCGTCCACATGGGTTGCAAATTTTTGGTGTTATTGGTCAGGTGTCTTTCTGAAATAATAATAATGATAATGATGATTGCTTATCGGTCGACTCGATTATTCGCCAGAAGGACACGGTGAAATAAAAGTAGTGTAGAACGAAATGAAGGTTTGTGTGCCAGCAGGATTACCATGACCATCTCATCATTAACCACGCATTCCCATTTCTTTTTGCCCTTATCTCAACATCGATTGATTGAGCGATAGTCACTCGGGTATGGATTGTGCATGACCCTTGCGATACAATCCCGATATTAATGAGAGATAAGAGTTACGATTCTAACGATAGCGATAGGAAGAAAGAATGGAAGGTAGAAGAGATAGGTGATAAGCGTAGCGTTCCTTGTATCGATTGTTACGCACATCCGACATAAATGATGTTTCGAATTTCGAATATTTCGCTCCTTCTGATTAGGAGGAACGACGGCACGATGGCCGAATTTCCCGAAACTTCTTATAACGAAATCATAATTTTCACGTCCTAGTTGATTGCGAGAAGTTGAGGTGGCTATGCTGTGGTACAATTTACAGTATGTTTGCTCACAATCTTACCTGACCCGTGCAGCATACTTATCGCCATTCTAATCACCTTTCCTCGAAGGCATCCCCCCTCCCCATTGAAACAATTTTACATCATCATGCACGCGTTTTAGGAACAGTGGCTTTACTTGGAAAAAGATACGTGTTTCCAATCATCCGTGAACCTTCGTGCGATAAGGCAGATGCTCTCGGAACTCTCACATGCTGCACACAGGAAAAAAAAGGTTGGGATGTTTGTGGAACATTTAATCTAGTTACATAAAGTCTGAATTGCATTTGGAAATCAGAGCATATCGACGAATCTTTAGTCCATCCCCAACAACCTAGTAAAAGTAACACGGCATGCACAATCTATGCTTACATCACATCATCAATCAACTTATCATAATTTCCATGGTGGTGAATGAGGGTCGCAAATGTGGAAAAAGCCGATTCGCCACAAAGGAAAACTCGACCATCCATGGACCTGGTTGATTGGTCCTGATATCTTTCTTTGCTTTTTTCTTTTTTGGCATTTCCGAGTGATGTTAAAAAAAAGAATCGACCGCAAACTCTTCCTTAAAGAAAAAGGATCCGGTTTGTCACACGCCTCGACATTCTTTGTTGACATTTATGCGCATCAAAGATATTTTTCCGACCGACGAGTTATCGTGCGTACCCCGAGTAACATGGATTTACATACATTCAAACGTGTCGAATCCTTAAATGTGAAGAAAGAAAGAGTGTGCACACGCACAGCTACGCTATCGAGGGAACCCACGTGACACCTTCGCTAGCCGAATTACAGATATCCGCCATCGACGAATGACACAATGATTCCTATGCGATCCATTATCCTCCATGATATGTCGACGTACAGAAATATTTGTATGCACGTGGGTGGAAGAAAGGCGCTTCTCTAAAACTTTGATGCAATCAACCATTGGGGATTCACCAGAACATCTATTTCAAAATGAATTTCGCGTGAAACAATAGAACAGGAATGCATACATGCGAGAGGAAACTCCCCCTTAAAGTTCCTTTAATTCGTTTGAAACACTTACTTGCGC